TGTTAGTCTTCAGTGAAGGAGCCAGGGCTCTTGGCGCAGTGTTTGGCTATACCTATCACTCACTCACCCTTTGCTTTTGAGTCAGAGCCTACATAGCTGGCCCTCCAGGGGGTTTTCAGAGGCAGTAAACTGAATGGATGGGGACCGCCCATCTTTGTCCCATGGAGCAGCTGGTGGACTCACCTGCCTCTGGATTGGCAGGGCAACTGCTTACCCAGGCTCAAGGAATCAGACAAGGAAACGCAAGATGAACTTAGAGCATCTGTCTTTTGGACCAGAAAGCACAGAAGTGCTCAAAAAAGGGTGGGTAAATCAGTATAAAAGAAAAATTAAATAAATTCTTACTTGCACAACAAAGAAGGAAAGAAAAGAAAAAAGGACAGTGTACAGGAATATGCCAAAAAGGCCATAAAGGCAAAATGAAGGAGTTTCCAATAGCCAAGTTGGTAACAACATGAGCAACAAAATAATAAAACAAATAAGTAAACGGGGAAATGGGACATAAGATTTCAGTCCTGTGGAGAAATGACCTCTTTAACCAAATGACCAAGGTTAATTTAATTAGGTGTATAATTTTAGGAATATCTCCCCCAAGTACAATACCTGCATCCTAAAGCTCAATTGTCAGCCATGTACCCATGGTACCCCAGAAGAAAGGCCTGGAGATCGGCTTCTGCTTCCCTACAGTCAATCCAGGCTTGTGGTGCAGTTCTAGTCCTTTCCACAAAGTGACTCAACAGTAGCTAGTAACAATGATAACAACAAATCATGAGAAACAACAAACAAATCTAAATTGAGGGCTACTCAAAGTACCAGGGTCCTGAAAGACAACCTGTCACAGTTTGGAGGAGAAAAAGGGGACCTCACAGTCAATGGGATGGGATTCTGGACGGAATCTTGGAAAAGGAAACTGGTGGACTCTGAACAAAGGGTGTCTTTCAGCTAAGGCGGGAGAAAGATGGGCAGTCTCCTCCTATGCAATTTATAGTCTCAGAAACCCAGTGGAGGGTCAGCTATGGGTTGGTCCCCGTGAAATAGCAATGCCTGAGTTTAGGTAATGGGGCTTGTGGGTCTGGTGACTTAATACAAAGAACACTGCGGTTGGGCTGAACCTGTCTGCTGGTTTGAATTCATCAGTGGCTTTTCAGGATTAAGATGGGCAATTTCTTCCCATGTGATTTACAGCCTTGAAAACCAGATGGAGGGTCAGTTATGAGTTGGGTCTGAACAATAGCAATGAGTTAATTCTGCAATGTGCATGAAGTCTTGATTGCTTAGTTTGTAACATATTGGGCTGTTAATGAAAAGATCGGCAGTTCGAATCCACCATCTGCTTCTTGGGAGTAAGATGGGTCATCTCCTCCCATAAAGATTTATGTTGTTGTTATTGTTGTGTGCTGTAGACTTGGAACCAACTCCTAGCTGACACTCCAGTGGGTTTTCAGAGGCAATTAATCACTCTAGAGGAGACTGCCCATCCTTCTTCTGCAGAGCAACTGGTGGATCTGAACTGTGTGCCTTTGGGATTGTAGCATAGCTTTTTACCACTAGGCCACCAGCGCTCCCTATAAAGATTTATGTTGTTGTTGTTATGTGCCGTCGAGTCGCTTGCAATTCATAGCGATCCTATGTACAACAGCCCTAAACTCTGCTCTGTCCTGTGCCAATCACATTGTCTCTGACACCACCC